GACCCGCTTGTGAGGGAGAGTCAGGAAAGTGCAGGGAGAGTGTTCCAGCCTGTGAGGGATAGTTCAGGGTTCCTACGGAGTCCTGTATCGGTAATCCGGGTCGGATGAAAAGACTCCCAGGTGTTTATAACCAAACCAGTGTCTCCGCTGTGAGTGCGGGAAGAGTGTGCCAGACTCCTATCTCCCTGTATGGAACGAATATCGCTGCTTCCGGGTAGAGTGCTATCAGCCTTACAGATACGTATTGTGTGCTTGGGTTTAGACTGTGCCAGTCAGTGGGAAGTGTCTAGGGTGCTAACGAATCCCATTACCGCTTACATCTGAAGTGACTGTACTGTGTACCTGTGTCTCCATGCCTGGAGTGAAACCGTTTGCTTTACTATTGTAAATATTCTTCATACTACCGGCCCTCCGGTAATAAACGTTATCCTGTTAAAAGTCAATTACGTGTGATTCCCTCTTTGAAGCGGCCACACCCTAAACCCGCTTACAAGCCTGCTATTGGTTATTGCAATTGGAAGTAGCCAATAGCAGGCTGGCTATTGTTCCAGCCCACTGCCCATTGTCTACATTCAGCTGCCGGCTGGGGGAATCATGCCGTCGGTCGGCAGCAAGTTGTAAACAGAGAATGTATTTAGCAACTAAATAAATTCAGTTGCTAACACATTTTTGTTAGTGTGCATATGTCTATCAAACAACTGCATACAAATGTGCTCAATTTTTTTACGGGTTGCTTGAGAGTGCTCGTTGCTTTAATGCCGGATAATGGATGAGTTTATGGTACAGTAATACCTTGGTTTACGAGCATAATTGGTTCCAGAAGCATGCTTGTAATCCAAAGTGTATATCAAAGCGAATTTCCCCATAGGAAATAATGGAAATTCAGATGATTCGTTCCACAACCCAAAAATATTCATATAAAAATGATTACAATACTGTACTGTAATATAATACAACATATAAAGAAAAATAAACCAATTACATGTACCTTCTTGGCTGGTGTGAGGGAGACAAGAGAGAGGAGGATTATTGTGTTGGACAACTTTCACTATCACTAACGGAATCACTGCTATCTCATGGCACAATGGAATTTTTTTCATTTTGTGAAACCTTAACAAGGAATCTATCCAATGAAACTTGCTGTTGCCTCCTTTCGAGGACATTGCATTGTCGTTAAACAGATTCATCGCTCGCACTGCTACAGAATTATTCGGGTGGTGCCTTTCTACAACCTGCTCGTATTGGAAGACATCGCTCGTATATCAAGGCAAAATTTTTCAGAAATGTTTGCTCGCCTTGCTGAACACTCGCAGACCAAGTTACTTGTAAACCAAGGTATTACTGTATTTGCACTTTCACTGTCAAATTAGGAGCTCATTAGCCACCAACAGAATGACTTATGAGTTTAACTGTTACTTAAAGACTGATCTACATGCAATATTATAGAGTTCCAGAATATCTCCATACCTACCATATTTCCCTGGCTCCCAGTCCTTTAGACTCCACTCGATAGCATTGCTAGTAAGTTGGATTATCCCTCCATAAACTCATCACTTTCAATTTTAATAGTCCTAAGTAGGCTTTCAAAATCTTGTTTGATAATGCCAATATATTGCCTTTTAGCTTTTTACAGGCTGTTTTTTTTTAGATTGCATGGCCCTTATTAAAATTGTGACATTTCTATTTTATCAAAGCCCTTTTAAATTATCCTGAACACATTAGCAACTATACTATAAACATCTTGAAACCATTTTATACATCAACATTACTATTACAGTCTCCAGCTGTAGTTGCTCATTTACATTTATGTTATTCCAACTTATCCAGGTGTAGGCGTCTGCTTATGCCGTATTACATATTTTTATATTAAGCTTGGTTTGGATGAACATTTTCATTTTAGTATTTTATATCCGCCCCCTGCAGTTGATACCACATGGCTTAAGGTTTACTTTTCAAACACTCCAACTGGCAAAACATGACTCACTGGCCAGAACAGCTTTGGCTCAGCAGGAATGAAATGAGCTGCAGTAAATGTGAGACATATAAGATAAATTATTTTACTCTGTGTCCAAGCTACTGGAAAGCAAATGTGGTTAGGATCAACTGTACCTGCTCAACGGCACTAATAATACTGCCGCATTAGTTGGGTGATTGTTTCAGGATTAGTGTCACAAGGTCATTCACCCAGTGGAATCTTATTATATTAAATACATTCAAACCTCAATTAAAAAGAAACTATTTTAGTGTATTTTTTATGTTTTCCAATTTATACACTGATATTTTACATAATTTTTTTTATGTTTTGTATAATATATTTATTTTACACATAAAACCTTAATATATGTATTACAACATTTGGCATTAAAGTATACTATTAAACATGAATAAGCAGAGGGTAGCTTAAGTAAAATGTCCACATTAAAATAATTAGTAGATTTAGATATATGGGCAGCTTAATTTATATGGAAATGTTAACATTTTCTGTCAAATTAAAGTTTGGACCCACTTCCCAAGTCTCCCTGTTGATTATTAAGACTTACCATCACATTAAAGGAACAATTATGCTTGGGATGCTTAGGGGATTGAAGGGCAGGGTTAATATTTATTTATATAGGAATAATTATCAGCATATCATTTTGTCTTCCCCGACCCCTCACCTTCAATCCCGGGATCCGCTGCCCCATCTGCGGTATTACTCTATAATAAATATGATGCTCCTCCATTTACTATCAGTGCCTTCTGTAAATATTTCCAGTTTGTCACTACAATGTTTGGATGTAATATTGTTGGCTAATTCCTGATATATACAGCATGCATACAGCATCGGCTTGCTCATAGAAACAGATAGCTGTGTATAACAGGATCTGCCACTGGTCCTCCACCCCTGACCCGAGTTCAAACAACAATCCTATGCAGCTGAGCTCTGCTGATTTGGCTCTCTCGTTTGACTAGATAACAATCTGTTCTAGCTGACAACAAGAAGTCGCCATTGAGATCCCTTTCTCACTCAGCAACTGTGAGCAGCAAAATGCATTACGATGCTACTATTCTCTGCAGTAACAAGTTCTTGGATTTGTGATATTAATGAGTGTGGATTTTAATTAAACTTTACATAAAGCCTTCTTGCTTTTATTTGTGTATTGCACATTTTGGACAAGGTAAAAATGTGCCCGAAATACACTGACACAGACAGGAAGAACAGGGTAAGTACCCTTACAACTAATGTTTTGTAATCATGATTTCTACACAATCTGTTCAAGCCTAATATACAAATTTTTTAGATTATACTCACCCATATATTATTATAAAACATAACCTTACATGATGTTTTTTTTGTAATGTATTATTATGGCAGGTCTGGACAAAATATGGTAGAATTCACTAGTCAGATCAACTAAATACGGATGTCAACAGCAGTTGTATAACTGACTATCAAGTGTATGTAGCCTGTCTGCATGACGAGAGACAGGAATAAATGCTAAGGTTTCAAGATGGTTTGGATTTCAATTCTACTGGCAACAGTGGACAGAGGTTTTAAGAACAAAATTACCAATTTGATAGCCAGATTTTTTTTATTGTAAGAAAGGGATAGAACCTTTATCATGGTTTTATTGCTCTATGTGACTCTATTGGGAAGATTCCCCATTCTATGGGGTCTATTTATAAAATCACATAGCTTCATTCAGCAAAACTGCATTTACATTTGTTCTATGTGAATTAACCAGCATTCACTCACTAGTTTTAGGGATTGTCACACAATGTATAAAGCTGTCACTGTTGTGTGCTTGGGCAACATTGAATGTATTTGGGGTATTTTCTCTTCTGATTGAATGTTCTTAGAGTATTTTCTCTTAGGATCCAGCTTTCATAGATGTTTTCTCTTATTGTTTAATATATTTTTATTTCCATATTTAGTAGCAGCCCCCCCGTGGGGGAGGCCCCATCTGCACAGACAATCACTCACCTGGCATTCAAAGCGCCGCCGTCCGCTGCCTTCTGGACACCACCGCAGCACGCCGTCCTCGTCCCCGCCGGCCGTCCTCGTCCCCGGCGCTACTATAGCCTCTGGTTCACTTCCCCTGATAAATGAAATTTATCAAGGGGAGAGAGCCACAGCAACGCCCCTGTCAGGGAATCTGCCGCTCCAGGCAAACGCCTTGTTTGCCTCGCGGCAGATACGCCCCTGCATGTAACCCTTCCTTATTAACTGATCCCCCTTATGTGCAATTCTATAGATATATGTGCTATAATCTTCTCTCCCCTAAATGTGAATTCCTTTATATTATATACTCCCCCTCTACCCTAACATAACCTCTCAAGTGAAAATATTCCCTATTTCTATGTGGAGCCCTTAACAGTATTTATAAACCTGTGATTAACCCTCTACTTTTCCCCACTTGTGATGAGAACTATAGTGCCCTTTAACCTTATTTCAAGGATGCACATCATCCATCTGTAGGATCAAATTATTTGTGTTGTTTAACCCCTTTAATATATCCTATATTTCTAATTACTAAAACCTTGTTTTCTCTTATGATCAAATGCTCTCTGAGTATTTTCTGTAAGGGCATTCTCTCTTAGGACTGTATGATCTTAGAAAGTCTTAGAACTTTCTAAGAAACTATTAGAAAGTGTTGCATTCAATACTGATTATATTCACCAGAGAAATCTATACACCCATGTACATGTCACAGATCAGCTGCAGATCTGATCTGTTACCTGTGCTTCAACAGGCTTGCAGTTGTTCTTAGAGAACAAGCAACAGTATAGCACTTACAGCCTCATGGTGTAACACCCAACACTGCAATGAAAAACAAAAAGCCAACCCTTGAAAATGTCTATGTGACGAAACACGTCGGGGGCGGTCCTGTAGTCACACCTTCAGTCTGATTAAGTTTGTTTTTAGACTGACCGGCCGGTTTTGTGGAATTTTCATTTCATATTTTAAACTTTGTTCAAGCGCTTTTTTTATTCAATAAACTATCCTAATTTACTACACCATGGAAGTACTGCCTTTTCTTTCCTGGCGTCGAACGGAAGTTTGACATAGGGACAGCAGTGAACCCTGTGAAGGTCAGGATTGTGAAGAGGATGTCAAACGGCTACCTGCATCTTGGTGGTTTACACTACATGAAAACAGCTGCGGTCCAGTGAGTACATACCCTAAAGGGGATTTCTGCGCTTCCTTCTTTTACATCACAAATTATCACTGAATGGGACACACTTTCTCTTCCTCTGACTGTTTGGATCATCTAGAGTAGTCGGAAGAAGAATGGGAGATCGCACCATTTCAACACATTGGTTGTTATAGACAATTTTTTCTTTTTCTTTTTCACATATTTTTCTACACTTTTTTGGAAACATCAATTTATGACATTTTTATTGTTATTGATATTTGTTGTACTTACACATCAGATGATATATTGAATATCACTTACTTAGAATTTTTGTTGTTTTTCTAGTTTTCTTCACCCATAAGCGCAGGTTTTTGTTTTTCATTGCAGTTGTTCTTACCTCTTTACTTATGTGAGTCTGCTGGCACCTGTGGTTCTACAAGCATGTGCTTTGCTTTTGTTGCACAGAGCTAGCAGCTATGGGTGTCGCCAGGTAGACATGATTCCTAATATACCTTGCTTCTTGCTACTTCCTATCTCTCTCCTTATTTAAATCCTGCTCAGCTCTGCTCCCTTTGCCTGAGCAACACTCCTGTTACCTCCAAGCTCACATCTGTGCCTTTGCTCCTGACCTACTTCCTTGGGTTGATATTTTGTGTACTGACTCAGCTTAGTTCTCCTGATTTATTTTTGTCTACTGCCAGCCCCTGACCTTTGGCCCATTTTCCGGATCTCTATTTTCTATGCTGCCATCTCGCCTTTGCCAGCACTGACTGGAACACAGCCACACTCTCTGTCTCCAGTGTCTACTCTCCACACAAACAGGGTGAACCTGGGGGTAATGACCTAAGGTCAGCATACAGCTAAGTCCAAACCTCCATGAAGGGGTCTCTGGCAGAACACCAGTTGGCCCTTAGACTCCATGCCTTGGGGGATCCTACACCACCTGCACACTTGTAGGCACAATTTATGATGCAGGCAATGAAAAAAATGGTTTCCGTAAACTTCATCACATCACATTATGATAAGATTGGGTTGAGTTTGCAAGGGCTCAAAATAGCATGATATCAACTTTTTGACAGGTTTGCAATTGCTAAAAATCAAAATGACATTTCATGTCATTTCACAATAAATAGAAATGTCAACCAGATCAAGTCATTGTTGAAACCTGGAGATTCATATGGGGAGGAATTTTATTTTTTTTAAATTGTTTTACACTTTCTTTTCTTTATGGGGACATCTGGATCTGGTCAGTGAAGCTGTGCAGCAACAGATCACTTCTAATAGGCACTTAGCCAGCAATAGATCACTATAGATCACTTGAAATCCTGCAAGAATACTCCATGCAATGGCCTGAATTTCAAGCTTTAAAAAACAGGCCTGAACCCAAACATCATCCCTAGACTTGATATAATGTAGTGAGGTCCAGAAAAAAAAATTTGCGCTGTTGTTAACTTCCTGTCAGCCAGAACAAGTCTGTCCATTAACCTCTGACCTCTTTAACTCACAAGGTTTTTACTTGCATAGCTACCACTCTTTTACCAGCAGATGCATCTAAAATATTGACTACTGTGTGCTGTTAGTATTGCATTTTCTAATAAATCATATTATTAAACTGCTTCTCTTCACAGAGTCGAGCATATTTAGAACAGCAAAGTGCCAATATTCCAAAAACTACAATCAATATAAGAGGAGATCTCTTTGAAATTGTTAATTCTCTTGAAGCAGGTAAGATATAAAGTTAGATCATGGTATTTGTTATTAATATTACATTGCACATTGACATAAAATGACATTTAATTTACTTTTACAAAGTTTCTTTGAACTCTTGGAAGGGCAATGGAGAGTTTTCTAAGCATTTAAAAACCAATCCCTTTCATCAGTCTCTTATAAATGGATAAAATTAAGGAGTAAAGTTAAGTGCTGACAAGCAAAGAAAATACTGTATGTGACAATAAACCACACTGGAAGACCATACCAATATGCTTGCAATTGCTGCAGTTTCTGTTCTAAGTTCTCTGTTTATTTTTTTATTATAGCTCAATCTAGGAGACATTTTGACCACAATACTGTTTTAGTCACTGGCATTTCCCTACAATGTAGTAAAAATTTACTTACAGAGGTTAGATGACCATTGCTTTATCCTACCATTATTGTTAAAAATAAAGGTTTCAGCTGCATACATTTGAATTATACCAATGCCAAATACTACCTACAAGACTTTGGAAGTGCAGTCCTGCTCTAACCTGTAAGAGCATTAACAGTGGAACATGTATGGAAATGATTACATTGGGAACAAGCTTACCCTGAGGATGCTCAGCCACTGTTTGAATGTACAATGAAACAGAAACATGAGACATACCCAAGGTGACTGATCACTTTTAATGTGAATTCAGTAACCACTGCAAGGAAAACAAATGGTAAGCAGTTAATTGGTTTATAATTGGAACAAGTGGTGCACATGGCAGGGAAGTTCATCAAATGTGCATTAAAACAAATTATTCAAGCCCTGAGTCCTACCTAGCACTCAAAGGATAATACAAAAGGTACCCAGCCTGTTAATCTCTGAGATAAGCATTTCAGTCAGGTTTGAATTTCCTGGCCAATAGCTGTTGTACCCCTGAAATTGCAAGTATTATCTTTGTTATCAAGAAAAGCATCTTCAGTGCCCTTTTCTGATTTCATTTCACTTTGTTACCTGGCCAAAAGAAAGTGACCGTAACTGGTCACTGAGGCAATCCCACTGGACACAATAATGGCATCTGATGGGGAATCAGGGAAAGTCAAGCTCCAGTGACAAAGTAGAATTGAATTAGAGAGAGGCCAGAAGATAACTTTACAATTATAAAGGCAATACAAGTTAACTGGCAGTGTATACTCTTAGACACAAAATAATTTTGGTTCATTTCAGATGTTTTATTATTTCGTTTTTTTGGGATTTGGGTCTGAAAGTCAATTCAGACGAATGTTTTGTTAATTGCGGATGAGTTAGACGATAACTACAAACAAACCAAGCAGAAAAGTGACATTAAATGTTTATTTTTAATTTTTTTAACTTTTGGCAGTCCACAGGAACAATAAAAAAAATTGTGTGCCATTCCTTTTGGCAATTCATACCAGACCCTTTAGGTCTGGTCCGAATTTTAGAGAGGACCCCAACACTGAAAAAAAAGCATGGATTCCCCACTAAAATGACTTACCAGACCCTTGATCCGGGCAGCAGCCTGGCAGAGCCTGGCAGCATGCACCCCCCCCCCCAAAAAAACATACCAGACCACATGCCCTCGACATGGGTAGGGTGCTTTGCCAGGGGGGGACCACCTGGATAAGAACCTTGTTCTCATGCCAATGAGGACAAGTGCCTCTTCCCCACAACCCTGGCCCAGTGGTTGTGGGGGTCTGCAGACAGTGGGGCTTATAGGAATCTGGGTGCCCCTTTTATAAAGGGGAACCCAGATGCCGCCCCCCCATGTGAATGAGTAAGGTGTAGTTGTACCCCTACTCATTCACTAAGTAAACATAAATAGTAAATAAACACACAACACATGGTTTTGACAATTCCTTTATTAAAATCAAAAACAAAAGAAACAAAGATAAGAATGCACTCAGCAGTACTTCTTGTAACATGCAACTAGCTTGCATGCCTTCAGTGTTGGGGTGGGGGTAAAAAAAAAACAGATACCCGTCCCAAAGCATCAATGGCCAACTGTGATGGTGCCACACACCTGAGTGGAGACCGACTGTTGAGGAGGCTTCCCTTGCAGCTCGTGTCCCTCGACTCTGCCTGAGGATGGGAGGAGGAGTGACAGTGATCTGCACGAGTGCCAAGGATGCAGCATACACTTGTGCCAGGTAGGAAGTCCAGAATCTGGAACTAAGGCAGGTCAGGCAGAGCCGAGGTCAAGCCAGGCCGGCAGTAGGTTGTTTGAAGCACAAGACAGGACCAAGATCCAAACAGAAGCCAAGGGTCAAATCCAGCCTACCTTATGTTGGGACAGTTTGCGATGGGAAATCTCTCTTTTTGTTAGTAAAATGAGGAGGGCTACAAAATCTAACAGGTTTTTATGGCAGCCAGTGGAGGCTTGGATGACAGAGTAACCAGCATGTCTGTGCCGGTCTCATCTCACCCTCCAACAGCCTTGCAGATAGAGTCATCCTGTGACACTTTTGTTCAGATGCTGCCTGCACCTCACCTTTGTGAGTAGATTTTTACTTTTTTGTATCCATTTACAATAAATGATAATGCGGAGGAGAAAGTGCTCTCTTGGTTTTTATTTACAGATGATGTGATAGTTTCCATGACTGTTAAGGAGCAGCCTCACTGTGAGAAGAAATACTACTATTATTATTATTACATATGCTGGATCCTGTGTCAAGATCCTTAGGCATGGGTGTGATCTGTGTTGTTAGAAAGGTTTTTATGACTGCCTTTGTCTTGCTTCACAGTGATGACTGCTACCTTAATTTCTTGTCTTTCTGTCACAGGACCAGAAAGTGAGATTAAGAGGTCTATTCAGAAAGCTGCCAAAGGATCTAACCGTAGCTTCGGCTGATCCTTCGGCTAGCTTCAGCCCCAGGACCCCTTCGGTTCAGTAGAACCGAAGGGGTGCTGTACGGGCTATTCACTATAGCCCGTACAGCTCCCGAACCTGGCCGAGTGGCTCAGTCGAGCCGAACGCATATGCAACGGCTCTGCTGAGCCGTGCTGAAAGTCGGAACTGGCCGAGCGGCCGGCCATTGGCTGGCCGACAGCCTGCTTCTGACAGCTGGGCGAAGCCAGCCGTGATCTTACGGCTGGCTCCGGCCACTTGCAGAGAGATCAGCATCCCTGGTTACCTGCTAACCAGGGACACTGATCTCCAAACAGCTAACTCTCCCTGGCGCCCCAAGAGTCTCCTGCTCCCGGCCGCCAAGGAGAGAAACACTGCTGTTTCTTTTTTTTCTTTATTCTGACACGGAGCGATGTCAGAATAGAGAAAAAAAAAGTAAACTAGCATTGTACCCGCCCTCTGCTGCAGTTCTCCATCAGGTCCATCAGCAGAGGGTGGGTACAATGCTAGTTTACTATTGGCTATTGCAAATTGAAATGGCCAATAGTAATGTAGCAATGCATTTCAATGGGAAATTCTTTTTTTTTCTATTCTGACATCGCTCCGTGTCAGAATAAAGAAAAAGAAAGACACAGCAGTGTTTCTCTCCTGGGCGGCCGGGAGCGGGAGGCTCCCAGAGCGCCTGGGAGAGTTCTTTTTTCTCTTTTTTTTTGACGGTAGCAGAGCCGCTGGACAATAGGAAGATATTGGGCGGAGCTAGCTGTCACTGCTAGCTCCGCACAATAATTTTCTATTTACTTTTTTAACTCTTTTTCTGTTCTGCTCGGTCCCTCTGTCGGCCGAGCCGAAGCAATGTGAAGCAAGCCAATGTACAGCTGATTTCAGCCGATGTACAGCTGAAATCAGCCGTACCAGCCTGAAGTGAATAGCCGAACAGTGTTCGGCTCACTTCACTTCAGGTCGGTCATAGACCCCTAAATCTTACTAATGGGGTTACAAAGAAAAGCTTGAACAAGGTATTTTCTTTGCCCAGCTGTATCCCTCAAATTTTTTTTGGTTGGCCTTGATATGAAATAGCTAACAAATAATGATTAACATTTTTGAATTCTAGGAAAGCAAAGTTAAAAATAACAAAGAGAAAGGTGTATTTTTAAGTAAACTAAAACCAAATAGGAAATGTTTTTAAATACATTAAACAGATACTGTAGCAATTATATACCCTATTAGAACAAAGTCCATAGGAATAAAAAAAAAAGCCTATGTGGATGAACAGGAAAGTTTTAGATATTATAATGCAGAAAAGGGGAACATTTAAATCTCTAATGGTGGTGCTACTTCATTAATGAAAAATTATGAATGGAACAAAAACTGTAAAAAGATAAGTTAGAGAAGACTGAAGGTAAAAAATAGATTTCTAGAGATACTGAATTTCTTAAATGTCTACTAAATATTAAAATTCTAAGAAGAAATAATCTGGTAATATAGGACCTCTTGACATTTGGGGAATGTAATTGTAGAAGGGAAAAAACTGGACTGCTAAATACTATACATTTTATTTGTTTTACATTATTATTATTATTATCATTATTATTTCAGGTTTGCTTGTTCTAGCTATAGCAGTTTCTGTTTGAATCATACACTGTTTCTGAATACTAATTTTTAACTTTTATTTTTTTTGTATTATTATTACATAGTGAGAAAGAATACTATTCAGCATTCTGAATAAGATACCTATTTTACCCTTTTATTCTATGACATTTTTAAGGTCAAACAGATAATGTTGAAGATATTCTTTGACTTTCGTAATAGAATTACATAATAGAACCAGAGTTTACTGGCTCAAGAGGCTGCTTTTACAAAAGTGTAGAATCTCCTGCATGGCAATACTTATTAAATGTAACAAAGCTTGATTATAGAGAAATTCAATAAGGACCTTTAAAATGTCCTTGCTAGAGAGGATATTGCAAATTTTCTAAAAAATTAAATACAGAAAAAATGTCCAGCAAGAATCACTGTAAAGAGCAAAGACTATTGACGTTAATTATACAGGGATTAGAATATTATGTAATTGCCCTTTCATAAATTCAATTTAACTGGAAATAAATTAATTTCAATATCAGTTTATTACAATAAAACAATTTATTACAATAAGACTTCAAATGAGCTAATGTATCACAATAGGGATGGTTACGCAACAGAAATAGAATTGCTGCTCTTAACGGGTACTTTCAGGAAATAATTACTCTGGGCCAAATTAGTTGAACCTTTTAGAGTATCAATGTGGAAGGGTCCACACTGCTTTCAGCACCTCAACTGTACTTTGCTCCTGTAAGCTTCAATTCACTTAGTGGTCTGGGGTGAGTTATATGTGACAATTTGCATAAAAGAAAATCTAGCAAGGTTTTGGGTTAAGAGTTAAGTTTATACAGCATGGATCACACTACATTGGATGCACAGGATCAACCAACATGATATGTTTTTGGGCAGCTCCACAGCTCTTCTGCTAGGAGAAACCATAGAAACCAATAGGCAGCCCTAATATGAAAGCTGCAGACAGTGTTCTGCTTGCCATGCCACAATGCCTTGTCCACTCACCATGAAGTGTGAATTGAGTCATTTGGCTCAGTACACACTTGAAGAAAGAGTCTTTGCTGGACACATGGCAGGGATCAAAACCACCTACCAAGCACCTATTATATACCCAAAAGTACATTAGTGTGAATAAGCTCTATGTTGTTGTCCATGACACAACTTTCACAGAACATTAGGGGTTTATGACAAGTAGAAACAGAAGAAGTGGTTTCCTTTCAGCCTCTCTCTCTATAACTGATTGAAATTGCATACAATCTGCCTTAACAAATCAGGTAGGAAAGAGGATGGGGGTGTGGCTTGGAGGAGTAAATAAAGGACAAATAAATGAATTGACTTTAATGCATTTTTTTAGCTGTGCTATTTTTCTAAAAAATATTATTAATCAAACAGTTTTTTCCTATTTTTTAATATTTTGTTCACACTAAGTGAGGCGTTAGGCACACATATGTGATAGAAATATATAGCCGTACCTGTCCTCTAAAAAACAATATATAATATGTGTGGGTGCACTTAGTAAGAAAGTATATTACTGCCGTAAAAAAGTCACACAGCAAAAATGTAAAAAGTGCTTCAGACATTCACGGACAAAAACTGAAAAAGGTTCAGTCATGAAGGGGTTAAATATAGAAAAGAAAACAGTTTCTGTTATAGTGGTTTTATACTGGAACTCCTGTACTTTGATTTATTCCCTTGTTGCTAATTGGAGGCTAGCAGTGGATGTAAAAATATTGCTGTGGTGATGTCTTCGAATAAATAAAAGTGGTGTATCTCTGGGGTCCCTCCTCATCCGCACCCAGGGATTCTGGGGATTTGTGGAAGCCATATTTGGAAGTTGATATAGCAGGTATTGATCAAATTGTAGCCCTCTCCTGAGGAAGCGGATTACCATGAAACACATTGAGAAAGCAAGAAATATCTTCTGCTTTACTTGTTGAACAACAAATATAGCAAAGTATTTGAGGAAGATCTTTACACGTCTCTATGAAGTATGAGAAATGTTAGAATGAAAAGGAAAATGAATGACAAGATGGGGCTACATATATAGGATGTAAAAAATTATTTTTTAATGTTTACATTTTAAGTGACTGACACTGAATTGTCATTTTAAGATATGTAAATAAAGATTTTGATTTCATATTGCTGTACTAGCTTACTTTTTGAAGTACCTTAAAAGTCAGACAACATTTTTGTATTATTATTCAGTTCTGATGTTGCCTGTCGACTGGGCTACAGACTACCACAGTCTGGTTCTTTTCCTGTTCAGCTGCCATCTGCCCAGGTGTGTCTGAGGGCCACACACTACTGCACCCAGCAGTAAAGTTCATCACTCCTTCCAGGGTGCTCTGGTGAATATCTGGTGTGTGTGCTAAGATTCTGCACCTCTTCCATTTTAAGGGGCACAATATGCAGATACCACAGAGGGTCCCCATTAAAAATTTTCCATGACAATCTGGTTCTCTCTGCTCTTCAGAAATGGCCTTTTTAACCCATTAAAACCATTATTTTCCCTACTCTCACCTACAAAGTGGTATTATTATTATTATTATACAGGATTTATATAGCCGAAAGAACTCTCTGTAGCCTTTATCACCTCTGTGAGGCTAGTGTCTAAGCCCTATTTTGCAAGTGGTGTTTAGGCCTAGAACTTTCTTTTTTTAAAGGTATTACCCAGATTGCACCGCTGATCATTTCCATGTTTGCTTAAACAGTGCAGGGACAGCCTTACAATGAAATAAATAAATACAAATAATAAAATAATGTAAAAAAATTAAACCTGTAAGTATAAAAAATACTGTTTAAAAAAACATGAAAAACCTACTAACTAGCATGCAGAACCCCTGCCTCTCATGTTATGCTTCTTTAACCTTGTTTTCCCAAATGTAATGGCATCCTGCAAACTGGGAGGAAAGGGAGAAGGGTTCAACAGCCCCCATAATTGGAAATGCTGCTTATCACTGAGGGCGTGCTTTTAATATTTCCCATATTATAAAAAGAAAATTAAAAAATCAAACCAGGTCTTGTCACTCCCTTAACATGTGTCTGGACAGTGAAAGGAAAAGCAGCACATGAACAAGCTCATCTCTGTCATTTGGCTCTCTCCTCCGATCATCATGTTTCTTGTTAGAGTCAAGCACTGCAGCACAACTGACTGGCGTCTTGTGTTGCTTCTTCTTTTCCCAAACTGACCTCTGCTTTATAGGAAATTGTAATACCAATACCTAATATCTGGTGAAATTCAGTAACCTGTACTGCTTGCATTAAAAAAAAAAGTACATGTAATGAGAAATTAATGAATAAGGAGCTCCATTAATCTGTGTCTTTTATATCTGCCAGGAGTTTAAATATTAGACATTAGCATCTGTATCAAGTATGGCAGCATTAATGCCCAGCAGTATTTGCAAAGCCAGTCCAAGATCTACATTCAAAATGATGGATAAAGGGATTGTATAAATGTTAGCTGTAACAGTAATATTTTTCATGGTGATCATAGTGCGGATTGCCTAGGAATCAGCAGTGATCTTACAGGTAAACACCACTGACATGAAGTCCAGAAATCATTTGTGATTAAAGTAAACCATACATACTGTAACTGGTGCATCACTGATTGATTTATACAAAAAATGCTAACTCTTTGTATTTCATGCCTAGAAAAAACAAGAGAGAAACGATGCAGTGCCCGAAGGATCCTGATCCTCCTCTTTGCTGCTGGAGTTGTCACAGGAACAGCTGTAGGAGTTTACATATTAGGTATGATTATAACAAATTTGATTTTTAGTGGTTGCCGAGTAGAGAGAAAATTCAAGAGATATATTGATGGTGATGGTGCCTAATTCCCATATCTATATGCAATCCTATTGGATGCATTATAACTTAAGCCATGGCAAGTATAATAATGAATACATACCATAATTATTCATAATTTTTTTGCCAATGAATGATTATGGAGAAATTATAAACCATTTGTATTCAATTTTTTTCTATTTATTTGAATTAGTGTTTCCTCTTTGGGTAGCACAGTGGCATAGTGGTTCGCGCTTCTGCTTTGTAGCACTGAAGGTCCCTTGTTCGAGTCCCGTCTGGTCATTATCTAGGAGTTGCATGCTCTTGTTGTGCTTGCATGTGTTTCCTCCAACACTCCAAAGCACTGTACCACTGAAGGTCCCCGGTTCTAGTCCCGCCAGGTCATTATTAAGGAGTTTGCATGCTTTTGCTATGCTTGCATGTGTTTCCTCCCATACTCCAAAGACCTGCTGGAAGGTTAATTCGCTCCTGTCTAAATTGACCCTGTATGCATGTGAGACAGGGACCTTAGATGGTAAGCTCTTTGAGGGCAGGGACTGATGTGAATGTGCACTGAGTAAATTGTTGGCGCTAAATAAATAACAATAATAAATATAAATTGTGCTGTTAACAAAGTGAAAGGCCCAATCTAACCAAGTAGGAACTCTAGAAAGACACATTTAACCGACACCGGGACTTAAAACACTGTGCATGGAGTCAAGGGAAGATAAACTTCAAACAAGCAAGACTTCCCTCAATGAGTACCTGAAAGCAATTTAAACCATAACAATATAGAAAGGTGTGGCAGACCAAAAAGGATGAAAGAGTCCTAGATACTTTAATAGTTCATCAATTGGTCCTATCAAACTTCCAAAGTGTTTCAGAAGCCAAAGCACCCCCCCCTTTACCAGAGCTACTGTACAAGACAAATACAAAATCAAATAAGTAGAATTTTGCATATACAGTATATGAATATAAAGTACATGTTATTAAAGTGATGCACTTTGATAACAAGTTGTTTATAATCATATATGCAGTATATACTGTACATATTAAGATGCAAACTTCCTCTTTTTTTTTTTTTTTCAAGAATACATTTTTATTCGTTTCATCACATACAAATAAATTGCATAATAATAACAATAGCATCTACATTTAACAACTATCTCCTATCTAAAATTGCTTATTTAATTATAAGTGGGCAAATATAAAATAGAAGCTCATCCTTATGATCAATTACAATAAGCTAGCCCTTCATCATTACTTATACAACTATGAAACAAGAAACAAAAGGCATTATATTATCTAAAATTTCATTCCCTTCCCAATCCAACACCTTGCTCGTACCCTTTTTTGTTAGAAACCTATCATACCCACTCCTACATCCATTTCCCAGAGTTTGGGCCGCATGGGGTCGAACCAGTCCATATGTGGCAGACTCCCTCCCCCTTCCGATTTTCTTTTAACCAAGATGTCATACTTCAGGTGAGCCCCAGAAGTGCCCCAGGTATACTGTAACAACATAGATCTTAATCTATTGAAATATAATCTGGGGATCTTTACCGGGGTCATCTGAAATATGTAAAGAAATCTTGCGAGGATGTCCATCTTAAATAGTGTCATCCTCCCTATCCAGGAGTGTTTACGTTTCCTCCAGGCCTCCATTCGTACTTGTGTCGTCTCCAGGAGGGGTATATAGTTAAGTTCATATAGTTTTCTTACATCTGCAGATATTTTTATTCCCAGATAGTTTATCGCTTCTAGGGCCCAAACGAATGGAAAACTGGACCTCAGAATCTCCCGTTCCCCCTGAGGGAGAGTAATATCTAGGAATTGAGATTTACTAGCATTGGTTCGATAATTGCTAAATTGTTCTATCTCCCCAGGACCAGCGGAAATGCTATCCTAGGGTTTGTATATAATAACAGGTCATCCGCAAAGATACTTAATTTATGTATTTTCGCCTTGATGTTCACTCCCCTTATATCTGTATTCTGACGTATTGCCACAGCTAGGTGTTCCATAGCTATAATATACAGTAAGGGGGAAAGTGGACACCCCTGCCGTGTCCCATTGGTTATTTTTACTGGGTCTGATAATATCCCATTCACACGTACTCGGGCCCTAGGGGCTGAGTATAGTGCCATAATTTTTTGAGTGTGGTATCCCTATCTGATCAAGCGATGCCTTCATGAAATCCCAATCGAGCCTAATAAAGGCCTTCTTGGAGTCCTTCCAATTTTATGATTATGTTTTATATTTGTCTTGGAGCCCTGATGATGGGTGAATGTTTTGGCTGTTTTATTTAACCAATTTATGGACAATTAAACTATTGTGGACACTTTCACTTTTTTAGGTCTGGCAATAATTTTTATATTCTTATGGCTTGAGAAACCAAATAGAAAAACAGTGCATTCAAACTGCATCCCAGACTACCAATTGAGTGACTTTAATATACCGTAAGTCCTGGTCCTCATCCACTGCAACCGGCTTCCCCATTTTTTAAATCTATACTATTTCCTAAGCATTTTTATCAATGAAAAGCCCATTATTACACTCTAACAAAACGCTAGCATTGTGTACCCCCATTTAAGCATAGCCCTCTTTCTGGGGACAAATATACAGAGACATTTCTGTTAAAAAGCTTGTTTTACACAAACCAACATGTCATTTGTATTCATTGGTCCATCATTAAAAGATTTTTTTTTCTCAATCAATTTCTGCAGTCCCCACTACCAGGACTTACTAAAGCAAACTGCAACTTACAGAAATTCACAAGCACTTTGCTATATTTCCCTTGTGTCTGAGAACACATAGAGGTAAAATATGAACTAATAAGGAGCTCTGTAAGCACATTATGCAAATTTCCTATTTAGAATAAAATATTCATAACGAAAGAACTAAAGTCACAAGTCTTTTTTATGGCTGATATATATTTATGCTACTTGGAAGCAATTAAACTATGCTGCAGGCAAAAGCGTAAAATACGCTTACAGTATTCAGTTACACTACTGATGAGCGTATATATCCTGCATTGCATAAAAGGTTTGCATTAAAATGCTTAAAATTAAAGGCTGTTTGAAATAGGGAATTCTCATTCCATCAGCATCAGATCTTATAATAAGCTCTTTATTCAGAAATATATGTATGCCAATAACCCTATGTTTAATTTAAAGGAAATAATAGGTTTTTAATAGTCTCCAATCTACCACTTGATGCACTGTACTCAGACATATGTCATGCTGTTACTAATATGCAATGGACTGTGCTATGCTAAACGGACAAAAGAGCAGAATATAAATTAATTTTAAGGCTAAATGATAAATCTATAACAGTTTTCATTCCCTAATTCCTCCTGATAACTGAATAGCAGCTTTCACTTCAATACTCCCCAGTTTTGCTGCTGTGTTCCATAGAGAGTGGCAAATTCTACACAGTAGTCCTCTACTCTTACTCTGGGTTGAATGATGCCCATCATCATCCAACACCTTTCTCTGTGCCCGGGCAGTCATGGACAAACACTGTGTAGTGCTTTAGACAACCGGTGGCATCATCAGAATGCAGAATGCTTTCAGTGTGGGCATTTATGGTAGTGGTGACTAAGTCTAATTAACCCACCCAATAACACCCACTGAAAATAATTGACACTGGTCTACTAGCAGCATAATGATGATAGGAGCAGCACATGTCACAGCTGTGCAATGTGTGTGTGCTATTCTAATCCACCTTCAGCCTTGCACTGGATGAGAGATGTGGAGGAGACATGAACGACACTTTGGAGTGCCTTTACAGGTCAGTTGAGGGCAAAAAAGCAGAAAATATAAAGTTTAGAAAAAGAAATGTACACTTTCTAAAACTATAACAGTTTTTTTTTTAAACACAATGTTTCTCTTATATTTTAGTAAAAAATAGTTATGTGTTAATTTTATGAATCAACATCAGTATTGATATTAGTACTAGCAAATTTCAAAGTAATATAACATCTGCTGCATGTCACAGTGTAGTACATTGTCCATAAAAAGCATTATGCTAAATGGAAAGTCATACAAAGGCAGAAGCTTTTGCTTTCCTTTCATATATGAAAGCCACCTTGATTTAGGGACATAGGGTCTCCAAGTTCCAGTGAAATTAATGTCAAGTTCTACATCTTAGCTCACCCTCCTCTTCAGTGAAATAAGCTACCAGTATCCCTTTAGACAGAGGTTTAGGGCGCATCCTCCTGAGATATTATCAGTGGTAGGCCTGTTTTTTTTTAAAAGAAATGGTTGTGCCCCCTAAATGCTAGCTTGGTATTGCTTGGAGCTCTTTCATGTCTCCAATGTCCGTAAAAAGGAAGTAAGGAATGGGGAAATTATATGACATGCTGCTACCCCCTGTCCCAGTAAACAAAAAAATCTTATTTTTTTTATTAAGTTTAGCAGGAAAATATAAATATTTTAAGATAACTATTGTTTTTACTTTTCAGTATCTGTTTTAGTTTAAGGGTTGTTCCAGTTTCACTGGGTGAGGAAAAGCCACAAGAGCCTCTGCTTACACATATTCCTGCATCTCCTTGTTTAGGCTATGTTCACACCATGTCCGGACCAAATCTGGAGCAGATCTGCAAACGTTTTTGCCGTGGTTTTGACGCCTTTTTTAGCTTAAAATGGGCTTTCAGGCGCAGTCCAGTGCGTTCCAGCACATTTGTATGCATTTGTATGCATTTGTATGCGTTCCAGTGTGTTTTAAAACAGAGAAAATTAAACAAGCGGTATTTTTTTTGTCTGTGCTGGTGTGAACAGAGCCCAGAAATACCATAGGGATACATTGGGATGCTTTTATGGCCCACGAACAAACTGTTCTGGTCTGGGCATGGTCCAGACGTGGTGTGAACAAGCCCTTAAAAGGCATCAGAATTTTCATTGAGCTGTTGTTTTAAGAATAGGCCACAAACTTTTTGTTCTTTCTGTTGAAACACCAGCCTGATGCTAATGGGCCTATCTGCAGGTTTTAATATAAGAATGGGCCACACATTCACCAGAACACTTAGTATAGGCATAACTGACCATGATGGTGTACCAGATTCTGCTAGGCAGAGGCAGATAAGCAGCTCCAACCCTATTGGATACGATCATTGGAGTAGACTCATTACTGACAATTACTGGAGGAGTAAATGTTTGACCATCTCTAGAATAAACAATTCATAAACAATTGTGGATGTAAGGCCGTGATCTGTTTTCCCTCAAGGCAGAACATTTTTCAAGTACTTAGGTCAGATAGCAAGCAAGTTAATGTCAAGGCAAAGGGAGATGAAATGAGTGGCAAAGATGAAGATTGCCAGAATGTCTTATCTCAGGTGAGAAAAAAGTGAGAAGGATGTGTTCTCTAACATGCCCATTTGATGTCCCCCAGGATATGTCCAGCAACCAGCATCTGCATGCTATCATAGGCATTGGATTGTGCCTATTTAACTAATTTTTTACAAGGCAGATGGATTTCCAGTTTGCCTTACAGCCCAAAAGTGTTTGCACACCCCGCTAAGGAGAACAGTTATATTAGTCAATATGGTACAACACCAGTGGCGTAACCAGAGTTATGGCGCCCGGGGCAGAATTTTTTTTTTCGCCCGTCCCCCCCATATTATATAAACATCCACTAGAACTGTACCCCCCACTTCATTTATCATGTGAATTTTACTTGAGTGTCAAAACATGTTTTAAATATAAATGCAGGCCCCATATCCCAAAACATTCAGAGAGAAATACAAATAACCATTAAAATCTATATATTGCTTTACACACATTAGTCTGTGTATATGCTGGTGGTATTAAGTGGCAAATTCTGACTGGTAATAATGAAACCTGCATCATTTATGTCTTTATGTTTTAATTGGTTTTCCTTGACAGCTTGTTTGGCAATGCACCCTACAGAGATCTTGTAGACCTTTACACTGAGGTAGCCAAAGCTCAGACATTCCTCCCTGGAAAAAGTATGCATAATTAATAAAAGCTTTACTGTGTGATTTATTACCAACATTATCTATAATTAATTAGGATCTTAACAGCTACAAGATAGCGTTCATTTCTCATTTAAATTTGAAGTAGTAAGTGCAATTTTATGACAGGGCTACTTATGATATTTACCCTTTAAAAATGAAAAACTATGCTTCAGAAAATAACATGCTAGTTTGTCCCAGATTGTGTAAAAGAATTTGCAGGGATTAGTAACTGTGACTACCATAATGAGTAGAAATCATAGGAGAGGAGGAATAATGTCTTGTAGAAGGAGATGATTAGGTAACCTTTGTCATCTTGTAACTGAAAAATCCATTTGTTTTCACCAATCTTATCAACAACTGTCAACTGTTAATGTCTCAGAATGATTAGAGGACTCGAGAAAGAGAACTTTCATTTTATTGCTTTTAATGTTTGCAGTGCAGTATTTGATGAAGCCCCTCATTTACCAAGGTTCCATTTCATTACAAGATGCTGAGGTGACTTCTCGATGCAATGACACTGACAACGAAGTGACTACTGTTCCACAAAGAAAAGGTTTGTGAAGATATTATTACTAATTAACCATCATGTGTGTATCGCTGTAAAATTAGTTAATGTGCTTTGGCTTATTTTTCACAATCAGAAAGATGGAGCATGAATTTTAGTTTATCAAAGAAAATATACCTAAAGGCCTTAAATTAATAAGGCAAGGGGGCGTGGTCTCGCCGCGATCTGACATGGCCGCTTGATACCGGAGCTCCACATCAGGGTCATATACGTCAGCTACTCACTGCATCCTCGGAACCGTTCGACTCCCAGCCGGTTTAGTCTCCTATCCATTCGGACGAGATGTCTAGGGGTGGTAAGAAGCAGAAGGGACCGAGGAAACTGACGGATTACTATCCGCGGCCTGAGCCGCGTCATAGACAAAATGGCGCCGGCGCAGTAATCACCTCAGTCCCTCTAGCCACTCCTGACAGCAGCTCTGACTCAGAAATGGAAGCTGGTGGCAGCCAGGGAGCTCTTCACACTACTGATCAATCTAAACGGCCTGCCAGCTCCCCCCTCAGCTCACCACAGACTAAAGAGCCTGTTAATAAGAAAAAATCATTAGCCTCAATGGATTCCAATGCACCTGTTAGTTCTCATGCACAGTCCTTACAAGATATGCCTGTCACAGACAACCCAGCATCTGAAGCCTGTATTAAATACATGTTACTGTCACTGCGCTCTGAGCTACAGCAAGACCTCAAATCTTCTATTACTGTGCTCCAAACGCAAATATCAGATTTAGACACACGCACAGACCGCACTGAAACGCTCCTCACCAATTATGCGGCTGCTTATAATGAAATGGTAGATGCCCACACTGATCAGATTATCCTCCTTCAGAAATTGCAAGCAAAAGTCGTAGATCTAGAAGACAGATCTCAACGAAACAATGTTAAATTTAGGGGGATTCCTGAAGCGGTGGGACTTGGAGAACTTCCAGAATATCTCCATCAACTCCTTCACGCGCTACTACCTACCTGCTCAAGCTCTGAATTATTGATTGACAGAGCGCACAGACTGCACAAACCTAACCATTTGCCAGCATCTGTCCCCAGAGATGTAATTGCTCGCATCCATTTCTTTCATACCAAAGATAAACTGATGATGGCATCTAAGCAATCTCCTGTGCTTCCGGAACCATACTCCCATATTTCACTCTACGCTGACATCTCGGCCGCCTCAGCTCAACAACGTATCGAATTTGCCATTGTTACCAAGGCTCTACGTGATAACCAGATCTCGTATAGATGGGGCTTTCCGACGAGACTTCTGGTTTCCCATCAAAACAAAGTGATACCGATCCTCACTCCACCAGATGGTGTTCGTATCCTCAAGTCGTGGGGCATTACGATTGCTGTACCCTCTTCTGCGTCTACGCTTCAATCAACACGTAAAGTTCCCATGGACTGGGCTTCCCGTTGAAATTTCGGTGCTTAAGCAGTACATGCTGAATCTTCTACCCTCCTGAAGTGAAGGTTTCTTCGACAGTGATGATCCTGCTGTGACTCCTCTTTGAAGTGTTACTTACCCCCTGGTTAAAGTGTGCCATGCACACGACACGTTCGTTCGGTTTTTCAGTTATTTGTTATTTATGTATATCCTTTTTTCTCTTTTTTTCTTTACCATGTAGGCTACCTCTTGAATGGCATCAGTTTCGAGTTTGTTTTGTGCTACAACTCATACGATCAGTTTACTATACTGAATGGCTCACCATGTGGTCCCTTATAGAAAAGGAGCGTCTATTGTTCAGGTTTCCGTGGTATAACTGTTATTCTCTTGTTACTAGTTATATGCCAATGCAACATCTCTGGGCATTTTGTGCTCTACAATGTCCTTAAAAATGACTTCACTTAACGCCAAAGGGCTGAATAGCCCTCACAGAAGGGCTATGCTCTGGAGAGAAGCTACCTCCTTGCATAGTGATATATTATGCGTTCAGGAGACCCACTTCTGTAAACACAATCCCCCTCTTTGTAAAGAACAGAGGTTTCCGCGTTCCTTTTTTCGCAAATTCCACAAAGGCCTTTTGATAGCGATTAGGGACGCGGTGGCCTTTGATCAGCATGATATCCTTGTAGACCCTGAGGGCAGGTTTATCATACTAGTGGCGACCATTGATCACTGCCTTTTCACTATAGTTAATATATACGCACCAAATACTAACCAAAAACAATTTATTACAGCAGTACTCAAGCAGATTACTGATATGCGCAAAGGTCACCTTATCATCTGTGGGGACTTTAATGAAATACTTGACCCGACCATTGATTCAACCAATATAAACAGAAGAAGCAATCGCTCCCTTTCTTCCATTCTCAATACTCACGAATTGTATGATGCCTGGAGATGTTTGCACGGGACTGAAAGGGACTATACCTATTTCTCCCATACCCAGAATTCATATTCTAGATTGGACATGTTTCTCATGGACAAATTCACTCTACAACAAGTTGCTAAGGTGGAAATTGGGTTGATAACATGGTCGGACCATGCTCCTACCTCACTCACTCTCTTTCCAGCCGCCCCTCCTCATATCTCTCCCACATGTAAATTCAACCCTAGCTTACTTTCTAATCCCGATCACAGAGAACTTGTCCAATCTGAACTGAAAGCCTTCTTTGATATCAACGCTTCTACTGCTAGTAACCACACCATTGTATGGAATGCTCATAAAGCCTTTATTAGAGGACTGCTTATTAAACTGGGGGCACAGGAGAAACGACGGCGTAATAGTGCTGTGAAGGCTCTGTTAGACCAGATTCGCAATTTAGGATCCATAAATAAATTGGCCCCTAACCCTTACAACTCTGTTACTTTAACCTCTCTTAGACACGAACTTAGCCTCCTCCTAACGTCTCAATACGATTTCATGATTAAACGGCTCAATCTGAAGTACTATTCCCAAGGTAATAAACCTGGAGCATTCATAGCCAAACAATTTAAAAGTCGCAAAGCAAACGTAAACATTTCTTACATTCTAGATAGTACTGGGAATAGACTTTATAATCCCCTTGATATAGCCAACCGGTTCAGTGAGTACTACTCATCGTTGTACAACCTGCAGGAATCCCCATCTTCCCCCTCACCGTCTAATGCAGAGATACAAAAGTTTTTAGCCTCCCTATCACTCCCTTCTGTCCCCACAGATTTACTAGATGGACTTCAAACCCCGTTCTCCGACTCTGAAGTCGCTACTGCTATTAAAAACCTACCCTTAAATAAAACTCCGGGCCCTGATGGGTATGGAGCTGAATACTATAAAGCATTCTTAGCAGTGTTGCAATTATGTGTTGTCGCCAATGAAGCTGCGACAGTAGGATCTTTCCCAAGTGAATCTCTTGAGGCTACTATCATTACTATCCCTAAACAAAATAAGCCGACAGATGACCCTGTAAACTTCCGTCCTATATCTTTGCTAAATACAGATGTAAAACTATATGCTAAACTCATAGCTAATCGTCTCCTGCACATCCTTCCTGGTCTGATCCACCCGGATCAGTTGGGGTTTGTGTACGGTAGACAGGCCCCTGATGGCACAAGGAGATTCCTGGATTTGGTGCAACATGCAGAGCAATCTGGAAGGCCTTCTCTGCTTCTTTCATCAGATGCGGAGAAGGCCTTCGATAGAGTACATTGGGGTTATTTACGGGCTGTCCTAGATAAATTTGGCCTCACAGGCTTTATAGGTTCTGCAATTTCGGCCTTATATTCTCAACCTAATGCAAAGGTTCGCATGTCAGGGTTGCTATCCACCCCTATTTGCATCACTAATGGAACTCGACAGGATTGCCCGCTATCCGCGTTAATTTTCGCCCTAGTGATGGAACCTTTGGCGGCAACTATTCGAAACTGCCCAGAAGTGGAGGGTTTTATGGTTAATCAACACCACCACAAAATTGGCCTATATGCCGACGATGTTATTATCCCCCTCACTGACCCCCTACATTCCTTACCATCAGTCCAAGAGATCCTTACTCACTTTAGCAAACTGTCCTTTTATAAGATAAATCATTAAAAATCCCATATGTTAGCCATTAATATTCCACCAATGCTCAAAACCTCTATCCCTACTATATCCCCTTTCTCCTGGGCCCCCTCTGCTACCCTGAGATACTTAGGGATCAACCTGACGTCCCCTAGCTCTAATACCTTCAAGCTCAATTATACCACACTTCTGACCTCTGTAGCAACTATTTGCTCGGACCTAACTAAATCTACTGTCTCATGGGCGGGAAGAATAAATCTCATCAAAATGTATGTTCTACCTCATATTTTATACATTTTTAGAGCCCTACCCCTTCCCCTATTGCCAATTTACTTGAAAAAACTGCAGCGTCTCTTAGACAATTTTATCTGGAATGGTAAATCTCACAGAATTTCTAAATTCAGTCTATACAGGCCTAAGCCTTATGCAGGTATGGGAGCCCCGGAGGTAGCCCTCTATTACAAAGCTAATCTTTTAGACCAAACGAAGCACAGGTGGGCCTACAGCCCTGACAAGCTGTGGTCTCAGATTGAAAGCACTGTTCTGTCTAATGATCTTAAATTAATGCTGTGTTCCTCCATGCTCAATCGTCCTCCTGAGAGATCCTACCTAGACTCTATCACGGGAACTCTCAGAGTCTGGCACTCGTTGGCTGCCAAATCCTTTACTACGCAAAAATGTATGTTTAAATACTGTAGGAAAGTCACTGGTCTTTAAACAGTAATGGCAATAAATGCAGCTTTATTGCATCCAACGAAAAAGTAACACAAATAAAAAGGCCTACTCCACCTTAGGAGGCTAACTAAACAGTAGTGTCCCTCACTACGTCCTACTGGAGCGGCTATTCCAGCTTCCAGTATAAATGGACAAAAACCACAGTCCAATACAAACAATTGTTCTGACAGACCTTATTCCCCAGATATGCAGACACTCTCCAGTCTGTGTCCATCCAGTGCAGCCTGGATCTCACTCTGAGCTCTCACTCCCTCCCAGTCACTATCAGGTGCAGGCTAATTAA